AGCCTCCGGAGGGCGAAAAACGGCTGAAAATAAAGACTGAAGTCAGCTGGCCAGAACACGCATGCACACTGGAGCTGAAAGGGCAACGCCTCCTATGCCCTAACAAATGGCTCTGTGTGCCACCTGTGGCATGCGCTTCACCGACAAAACCACGCACGACAACAGCGTGCTGACAAAACCGCGTCGCTAACACCGCGATGTCATCCCGACAGCGACAACAGCGCGGCGACAGAAAGCCAATGTAAGTTAAAGTAAGGGTTAGGTTTAGGGTTAGGTTTAGGATTAGGTTTAGGGTAAGGGCTAGCGTTACGTTTAGGGTTAGGTTTAGTTTTACAGCACGCTTCTGTCGCCGTGCTGTTGTCGGTGCGACTCCGCCCCCCTTCATCAGAGCGCTTTAGAACTCGCGGTTTTGTCACCGCGGTTTAGTCAGGCGCGGTTTTGTCGTTCGCCCTTTTGTCGGTGAAGCGCATGCCACAGGTGGCACACAGAGCCATTTGTTAGGGCATAGGAGGCGTTGCCCTTTCAGCTCCAGTGTGCATGCGTGTGCTGGCCAGCTGACTTCAGTCTTTATTTTCAGCCGTTTTTCGCCCTCCGGAGGCTCCTGAATGGACTTCTGGTTTGCCCATAGGGCCATTTTTCGCATGCCTCTGTAGAGCCTCTAGGGGGGGGGGGAGGCCATTTTCACCCTTCCCAGGCTCCTAGAAAGCCTCTGGAGCCTGGGGAGAGCGAAAAATGGGTCCATCATGTGTCAAAAGTGGGGGAAGAGCCGGGGTGGTTCGCATGCCTGCTGGGGGATCACGTGCATAGAATTATGGGTGGGGGCATGCTATGGATGACCTCACCGCGCTCCCCCCACTTTTGGCACGTGATGGGAAAAGGGTTAGCCATCATTGGTCTCTCCGCATGTTAGAATACTTTGGTGATACTGGAACAGCTCCACTGAGATTAAAATGGGATATTTGGGATGAGATATTTTCAGCCCTGAAACAGCTAATATTTTTGTTTTGCTGCTTCTTAGAAGATATAGTCATAAACATTGACAATGACAGCAGATGGACATAACATTAATTCCAGAAAGTGACAACAGGACACATGATATATATGCTTTATCCCCTACACATGTAAAGACACATAAACTTTAACTTTAAATAGATCTCCAAAAAAGGCTGCCTTAGAAAGCATTTTAGGTGAAGTTTCAGACTCAAGCACACAAACTTTTAAAAACAACTATTTGATTCTCAGAAAAATGAGAAGTGACTGGTACTGAAACCAGATGGCAAAACCACACTCGAGTGTAAACTATTTCAAATCTGCATTGCCTTCCTCTTTTTTAAAAGGCCATGCCATCTGTGCATTGTGTTAATCTAGAAAGAAATAGTACTTTCTGAATGAACAAGGAAGTATTATTGCTGTCCTCACATTTATTTTAAAAAGCTGGTGTTGATATTTTAACCATACTTTCTGTTAAGAACCTCCATAACAGGAATTAAAGCTCTGATAATTAGTGTCCAGCAAAAATGTAAGACCATTTGCTAGAGTTGCAGAATCTGAATTCCTCTTACAAATAAACAATAGGTTTTCTTCTAATTCTGTAAGCAAAATCTGCCTTCTTCAATGGACCTTTCTGGGGCAAAAGGCAAACCTTTCAGCAACCATTCCCCCATCCCTGCATTGGTTGTCATAAAGTCCCGTACAGATAGTTTGCAACCACAATTGAGCCCAAAATATCTGTTGTCAAGTGAGACATTTGTTAAGTGAGTTTTTGCCCCATTTTATGACCTTTCTTGCCTCGGTTGTTAAGTGAATTTAGCTTCCCTATTGACTTTGTTTATCATTAGATTGCAAAAAGGTGGACACATGACCTTGGGACACAACAATGCAGTGGTGGGTTGCAAATCCCGTTCCAAACGGTACGGTTGGAATGGGGCTGGCGGCTTCCTCATGGACGCACACAGCACACGCATGCGTATTAGCGCCTCCACGACGCTCCAGCTGTTCCGTGAAACACTGCGCAAGCGCTGTACATGCCATGCACCTGTGCAGAAGCCTTTAAACACCGGTAAGGCGCTCTGGGGTGCAGGTGGGCCTTCCGGAGCACCACACTGGAACCCTATCCGATGCTCCGGGCTGGCTCCGGTATGCCTGTACCGGGGCGTACCGCCTGCAACCCACCACTGCAACAAAGGTCATAAGTATGAGTCAGTTGCCAAACATCTGAAGTTTGATGGCACGAGCATGGGGGTGCTTCAATGATTGGAACTATGAAAAATGGGTTAAGTCCCTGTTTTCAGTGCCTTGTAACTTTAAAAGGTCACTAAATGAACTGTTGTAGGTCGAGGTCCACCTGCGATAGTCATCATAAAGCAGCTCTGTTTGAAGGCGCAGAGCTATTGTGGTGCGTCCTTGCCCGAGGTGTGCGCGTGCGCGTGCAGCTTTTAAGGGGCGAGATCCGGCGAATTACATCAACGCTTAAGGCTAAGACGGGTTTGATTTTTCCTGTCTCTTGCCGTCTTGTGGCCGTCCGAAGCAGCCGACGCTGAGAGTGCGGCAGCCTTCCGGCCTCCACCCGCTTCCTCTGCAGCGCCGCCTCCCTTTCAACAGGCTGCTGGGGCAAATCCTTCGGTTGCGGCCGAGGGAAGCGCGGGGCCGTTTTGAGGGCCGAAGATGCGCGCGGGGACTAGCGCAACCACGGGGTGGTCTCCGCCGCTACGCGCCACAGGAAAGGAGGCGAGCCAAACGCGGCGGCGCACTTTCGCCCGTTTCTTCCCGCTTCGGCACCAAGCCCGGCCTCGTTTTCTTCTGTGCCAGTCTTGGAAAGCGGCACAGAGGAAACGCCCGGCTCCGGTCTCTACGAGGGGCGGGCACAGCCGGCTTGTGCCAGGCCTGGTTCTCGCCGAAGAAGCACCCTTGCGTCTGGGTGCAAAGGGCGAAGACTTCGGCTCCCTCCGCCGCCAGCTCAGCGCTTTGCGCCCGAAGCTCCTGCCTTCGCTCCCTCCCCCCTCCCTGGAGAACGTACAGTAATTGACCCCGTGCCGGGCTCACCTGCCGAAGGAGCGGTTCTTTTCTCCGCCTCAGATTCCGTCGGAGCAAAAGCAACGAAGCCGCTCGGTGAAGCCAACTCGATGGGCCCGCGATTCCGAAAATGAAAGCAAACTCGAGTGGGAAGGGCGGGGATGCCGCTGGCCGCCGCATCTCAGCTGCGGGGGCCTGGCTTCGGGGCGGCGAAGAAGCGCTGCTTTGGCTTAGGAAAGAAGGAAGGGTGGTGTGAGTTAACCGCAGCCCTCCCTCCCTCTCTCTCAGTGTTTGCCATGCCTGCTTTCTTCCTTCACGATCAAAGAGTTTTGACTGCTCGAAACAATTGCTTGGGAATCAAATCCCAAGAAAACAATTCAAACAGTGAGGTAGGGAGTGATGGGGACAAAAGAAAAACCCAAACAACAATTAGGACAAGATGGAGGAAAGTGTTTCTCAACCTTGGCGATTTTAAATCCTGTGGACTTCAACTCGCAGAATTCCCCAGCCAGCTATGAAAAGAAAAGCTAAGAAATCAGCAATAACCAAGGAAGTGTGGTGCCATCAGAAAATAAAAATAGATTTAAAAATCATTTTACTGAGTATTACAAGTATATAGATAAAATACAGTAGAATTATACAAATATAGTTGTCCAAACTATAAAATAAAAGTATAAAAAAGAAAAGAAAGAAAGAAAAATAATATAAAAATAAAAGTAGGGGTTAAAGGAAATAACAAAGAAAGAACAGATAATTTTTAAAAATGGTTCACAAATATCCTTCAGCACATCCAGTGTTAAGGTACTTTCCTCCATCTTGTGTTCATAAATTGAATAAGCATTCTTCTCTTTTAATTTTTACTTCCCTCTGGTTCTGGCTTGTGTCCAACTTTCAAAATCCCATCCTACCACATACAGTAGTATTTTTCAGAATTTAAAGCACCAACTATTTCCTAAGGGGAAGATTCTTTCAATTAATATCAAAATCCTATTTCTGATCCATCATGATCCTTAATCTGTTTATATCTTTACAGAAACAATACTCTAATCATCCTTTTCCCATTTATTCCCCAAATTTACTCTTTAAATGTATAGCTAAAAACTTCTTTCATTAAGGATTGAAGGAAACCCCCCCCAGTGAATGTCATCAAACTTGCCAGGTTCTTAATATTTCAAAAGTAACAAATAAATAAATTTGAAAGCGATTAAGAAATGGGAGCCAAGTTTTATATCCATGTAAATTAATATACCACAAAATAAGACTGTAGTTCCATAACTCAGTTACATTTTGTAATAAATGTGTATTAAATTTTTTGGAGAGTCAGGTTAAATAGTAGACAAACTTTGAGGGCAGTCTTGCTTTTTTTTTTTTTTTACTTACCGTATACATTTTATATACTGTCCATCTCACTATCCAAAGTGACTCTGAAAGGCTAGCTGGATGAATTTGTTGGTTCACAACTGTCATCATTCCCGTAGTGTAAAACCATGCCAATGCAAGTTTAATTGTTTGCTTGCACTGCAAATTTACATGGCTGCCCAGCTAAGTCATATTACTTTGGATGACTAATAAACCATAAAAATAAAAGCATATAAAATAGTAAAAGAACAATAAAATAATAAACTCTTCAGTCAACTAACATCCTGGGAATAAAACCTGAGGGATTAGGGTTAGCCAGTAGAGTCAGGGCCATTTGGACTTCAGATGGGAGGCTGCCCAAAATTGCTTATGGAAAAGGAGTATTTTTTGAGTAATTTTTTTGAGTATTTTATTAAGATTTATAGGCCGCCCTTTTCCCTGAGGGGACTCAGGGCGGCTTACAATCATTAGNACTTTATGAATCCGATTTGGTCATTTGTGTTCATCTTTTGTAGTTGCAACCTGATGGCATGTTCTAATTTATACCATTGTTGCACTATGCCATATTGCTGGAACATGGAATCAATCCTATCTGATGTTCACCAAGCACCTCATATGGTTGCCAATAAATTGCAAACTATCATAAACCAGATCTGAACAATGAAAGAGCTAACCTGTCTCTGTGAAAAGGGCCAAGATTTTTACCTGAGGTATTCTATTTGAGGAATGTCCAATTCCAAATGTAGCAAAGTGAAAAATTACATGCTCTACCAAATCAAAAATAAATGAGGTAATACCATAAAGGTAAATTTACTGTTGTGTATAATTTACCATTTTTACCTTGTTTTCAATTGTCTTTAAGTCATCTTCATTCCAGGTGCCTATTCTATTTTATTATGCTAAACCCCATCTTCTGTCACATAAATTATGGTTAAAGATCTTAATATTAAAGGCTCTTAGCCTGGAGAGCATATTTCAAGCTTTATCCAAGCCAGATATTAATGCTGAAATTGAACACGGATCACTTTGTCATCATTACCTCTGATCTCAAAAGTATAATGCAATCTTTGCTAGATCTGGCGAGAAACTGCTTTGTTGTATTACACTGAATTATGGAGATATATTGATATTCTTAATATTTTGACAAAACAATAAAGCCAAATATGCTAGCTCTTCAGCACGTATCAGGTTATATCAGAGCTGTTACTACAGCAACAACAAATTATGAAAGATAAAGGCTATTTCTTCCATTCCTGGAAAGAAAAATACGTACATTTATTTTAAAATCCTGATTGTCAGCATTTCCTGCATGAGTTTACGTAGTTTTTAATATGCAGTAGAAACTCTGCGGATGTGGCTTTCCAATATTATGCCGTATAGTGTTGTATAGTTTGACTTTCCAATATTATGACACTTCTTGTTTTAATTAAGTCTTTCTAAGTGGATCTTGTTCTAATGTTCTAAAAGACAATTCTAAAAGACAGTTTATAAGAACTGCCTAAAAGTAAAATCATGCTTAAGATGTCTTGCTATTAGAAATAGATTTAAAGTACAAATAGTCTTTACTTTTCACACACCTTTTTCACACCCCACTGCCCTTTTTAGTAAGAGCCGAGGTGGTGCAGTGGTTAGGGTGCAGTACTGCAGACCACTTCAGCTGACCGTTATCTGCAGTTCAGCGGTTCTAATCTCACCGGCTCAAGGTTGACTCAGCCTTCCATCCTTCCGAGGTGGGTGAAATGAGGACCCAGACTGTGGGGGCGATATGCTGACTCTGTAAACCGCTTAGAGAGGGCTGAAAGCCCTATGAAGCGGTATATAAGTCTAACTGCTATTGTTATTGCGATTAGTGACCATTCAAATTTACAGTGGTAATGAAAAAGTAACTTTATAATTGGTTCTCACATTCACATTGCTGCATCCCCATTGTCATGCAATCAAATTTTGGGCACTTCGCAACTAGCAAACATTTGCAACTTTTACTTCATGTTACAGTCATATTTACTATGTCCGGCTTCATCTTTGACTTCTGACAAAGAATCAATAAAGACATCAACTGTTGTGTGTGGCTTACTTAATAACCATGGTGGAACTGGATTTGCAAATCAAATTTGAGTATTTTGAGTATTTTATTAGGATTTATAGGCCGCCCTTTTCCCTGAGGGGACTCAGGGCGGCTTACAATCATTAGGGAGGGGGTGCAATTCAAAATAAACAATATGTGAACAAAATAGAGTAATAAAAACACAACTTGCATTCAACATTCAACACTCGGGTGGGCCTGCGCGGAAGGCCAACAACAAATGTGTTGTTTCACTTAAATGACCACATTGCTTAGCAACAAAGTTGTCAGTCTTAATTCTGGTCATTCAGCAAGGACTACCTGTGCTGTTTTTGTACTGATTCATTCTGAGTTACTATTTCAGTTTATGAAATCAATGGTGGGAATGAACTACCATAGCCAGATTGCAGTTCAAATTATTTTATTGCTGTTTCTTGCATTTGTACTCTGCTGTAATACCACAGGCCCTCGAAAAGAATATATTTCGAGAGCCGAGGTGGCGCAGTGGTTAAATGCAGCACTGCAGGCTACTTCAGCTGACTGTTAGCTGCAGTTCGGCTGTTCAAATCTCACCGGCTCAGGGTTGACTCAGCCTTCCATCCTTCCGAGGTGGGTAAAATGAGGACCCAGATTGTTGGGGGCAATATGCTGACTCTGTAAACCGCTTAGAGAGGGCTGAAAGCCCTATGAAGCGGTATATAAGTCTAACTGCTATTGCTATTGCAATTGCTATTGCTATATTTGAGGGCATGACCTGATAGTACTTAAAGACTTCTACATCAAACTATTGAGGGAAGCCACTGAGTTTTTGAAGTGAGGTGTCATCAGTATGAATCTTTATCCTCTAAATGCACGGGTAGCAATCCTATCTTTGAACATTGTCTAATTTCAGGAATGTGATAAATGAGGAGGAAGAAGCTAAAGTTAAATCCAGAGAAAATGTTTTTTTCCATTGCTAAAATAAAAATAGACTTTGGGATTGAAGTAAAGCTTGTTCTTGAGGAAGCTACACTATCTCATAATGAGCAAGTATCCCTCAACTTTTTGGACTTACTTTCAGATGCACCTTAGTTACAACCAGATATTACAGTGCTACATTTGTAAATTGCCCAGAATTTATAATTGGTGGAAAATCAAGTATAAATCAACCAGTATAATATACAAGGATCATACAATGCTTAGACTGACTAGCAGGAACAATTAAGGTGCTAGAGTTAACTTTTTCAAAATCTAAGCATCTTAAAGCCAGATTATTTTCACAAACATCTCTTCACAATGAACATATGCATGCCCTTGCTGCTGGAAGTCCAACCAGTAGATAAATGACCTTTGTGTGACTGCCTGACCCAATGCTCAGAAGCAAAGTCAAGCTTTCAAGGTCTTCAGAATATCAATAGATTTGCCTGAATCTTGGGAGAATGGGAAAGTGATGAAGTAAGCATGCTTCCTGAGACCTACTAGATGTTGTTGTTTCATAGAAGGGACTCAAAGAATGCCCAGTCTGTTAGATCTCATGGAACAAGCCCCAATAACTGGAGATAGATGACCCAACTGGACTATTCCAAAGATTCAGAGAGCTGACCTTGAGGAAAATGGGCAAGAAATACCACATACCGTAAGTAAAGAATGCTGAAACTCTTGTTACATTCTGAGAAAGAAGACACACGTTCCTCTTTGATAATAGACAGGGGAGGTAATCAAGATTCTATTACAATAGCTTATCTCTATAAGTTCAATAACTCTAATCTTTCTATTGAGACAGTTTCCTTCCAAGGTTGACAGCCATGAAGGGCTTTAGAGGTGATAAGCAATATTTTGAATTGTATTTGAAAGCCTACAGGAAGCTAGCGCAGCTGACAAAGTAATGATGGCCTGTCACCTTGTCTTCTGAACCAACTGTGGCTTCAATCTAGAGGTTTTTTTTCAGGCAGGAGGTGACTAATATAGTTTATTAAGGTAGGAGGTGACTAAAGCATATATTGATAGTGAGCAGGGCAGCTGAAAGGTAAACCAAATCCCCAAATTGAGCAATAGAATAGAATAGAATAGAATTTTATTATTTGTATGCCGCCCTTCTCCGGGAGGACTCAGGGCGGCAAACAATTCAATAGATCTCCTAGGGGAGTGCAACTCCATCCAGAGCTAAAAATTGAAAGCCCCCAAATCCAGATTCACAGTCATTCAATGCTGTTTAGGTTAAGCTGTGGGCTCCACTTCATATCTAGGATAACTCACCCCAGCATCCTTAATACAATGGAATAGAAGGGAATTTTAAAAAAAGAAAGGAAAATTGAAGATTTTCAGAATGCAAATACCTGGAATAAAATTGTCCAATTACTCGTAAAAGATTCAACATTTGAAATATTAATTGGATTGGATTGGATTTATTTCATTTATATGCCGCCCTTTTCCNAAGCCACTCCCACAAAGGAGGCCACACCCACAGAGTAGGTTCGAACAATTTTTGAAACCCACCACTGAGCCAGACATACCCAAATTGCCATTCAGTGCAATTATTTAGCCCAGCAACAGCTCTCCTTCAATGCCACAAATGTAAAGCTTCCTCAAGCATTTTTTTTTTCAAAAGTATTTCACAGTGATGTTCACTCAGGGCATCCTGACTAGATTGCATTTGATCCTGTCTGAGAGCCAATGTAGTCCCATGGTTAAGGCTAGAAACTAGCAGACTGTGAGTTCTAGTCGCACTTTAGTCATAAAAATCATGGCCTTGGGACCTGTCACTCTCTCAGCCCAACCCACCTGATAGGGATGTTGAGGAGACAATAGAGGGAGGGAGGAGTTTTATATAGTGCAGTGTTTCTCAACCTTGGCAACTTGAAGATGTCTGGACTTCAACTCCTAGAATTTCCCAGCCAGCGAATGCTGGCTGGGGAATTCTGGGAGTTGGAGTCCAGACATCTTCAAGTAACCAAGATTGAGAAACACTGATATAGTGTATGCTTACTATCTTGAGTTATTTATAAAATAATAATAAATAAATAAAAATTAAATTGAAGACCTGGCCTTTATGTGGGCTTATGATTGCATAGACAAGATGTGCAATCTTGACTTCTTCTTTTTTAATCCTCTCTCCTCACCAACTAGGAGGGGAAAAGTGTAATTATTTCCTCAACCAATCATCCATTCAAGTTCCTACATGAGCTATTACTGTAAAATGAAATATATAACATATTTAGGATGAAACCCAAGAAAGTCAGGAGCAAGTGAGTCTCCAAAAGGGTCATTATGTCCTTTCCTACTTATTCCCCCCACTTATCCTTTGACCAGCAAATTTCAAAGACCAGATGTGGTTCATTAAACTAGCTGAACTTACTTTAAATCAT